AATGATTGTGCGCAATTAGTGATTTTGTGTAATTGTTAATTTAGTAATGATATTCAGCCCAATCAAAATTCTTTTTTTACGTGATAAAATCAAAATGTGATTAACGCAAATCATTACCAAATATGCAAATGTCCACCATGCTATTTTTTGCATCGTATATTGGGGGGTCCAATATCATATGTTTTATGATATATGTGAGGCCACATATTAATTTTTATTATTGAGAATTTTTTAATGGTAACAAAAATTACCCCTCAATTTTTATATGTAGACCAATAAAAATTTAATTTCTAAATGGTTTAATTCGTGATACGTGATAGAAGTAGATGATCGGCATATTTTTTAATAATAAAAAACGGGGTTAATATCTATTAATAAAAAGTCTCATTTTCTGAATCCAGACATGTCCATATAGTTCTTTATTATTCTTTCATATCTCAAAAAAATTTTTTTTATATCAGACATACTTTTATATCAAATCAAATTTATAGCTAGCTGCATTTGTATATTAAAAAAATTTTTTTGTACATATTGTATAAATATAAAATTTTTATTTAAATGTCTAAACATAAAGAAGTTTCACCAACACTTGCATCTCAAGGAATAATTGACTTTAATTTATACTATGGACCTTTTGCTCATCACTGGTGGCATGAAATTTCTACTGAAAATGACTCAGAATTTTACCTATTTGTTTAGGCATGACAATTTTAACTGAACTAAATAGTAGAAAATTTTTGCTTTGTATTATTATGATAAGATCCAAAGGTTTACACTGGAGGATATGCATAAAGAACTTATTGAAGAATCTGTTCATAATACCCAGCTTTCTCATGATGAAATTCCTAAGGTAGAAACTATACATAATTGGGTTTCTAGATACTCAGCAGAAATGAAAAGAGATGTAGCTGATAAAATGTTAGCAAATTACAATAAATGAATTTCAAGTAATTTATCATACAATTATTTTAATATTAACAACTTGTTTTTGGTGTGATCTAATTTCCTGCCCACTACAAGAAAACAATTATATTATTATTGAAACAATCTTTAATAAAATTATAAATAAAGAAAATTATTTTAACTCTCCTGTAAATTATTCTCCAAGACTTAATGATGACAGAAGAAATTACATGGCCAAGTTTAATATTAACAATTTGCATTTGCTGTAATCTAGTTTCCTACAAGGAAACAATTTATTTGAACTGTTATTATTATTGATACAATTTTTGATAAAATTATAAATACATAATAGAAAACAAGAAAATTATTTTAACTCTCTTGTAAATTATTTCCCAAGACTTAATGATGACAGAAGAAATTACATGGTCAAGTTTTGAATAGTTTAATATCAATGTCTTTGTTGTCCGTGATCTAATTTCCCACCCACTATAAGAAATCAACTTATTTGAACTGTTATTAATAATGCATTCCTTAATAAAATTATAAATAATAGAAAACAAATTTTTATTTAGAAACAATAAAGAAAATTATTTAACTCTCCTGCAAATGATTTCCTAGGACTTTAATGATGATGGGAGAAATTATGTGGTCAAGTTTTGAGTAGTTCTTAAAATTACTATGAGAGCAGTGTTGTGCAAATGGAACATTGTAACGCTATTGGAATGTTCCAATGTAGATCTTCAATTGATATTAACCAATAAAATTCGTGTGTATGACACTATAATTGAATTTCATTGGTTAACTTCATTGGAACCACATTTGGAATGTTCCAATTCCAATTGGAATTTATTAGAATGCTCCAATGAAATTTTATTGGAACCATAAATGGCACAACACTGTATGAGAGTTACACAGAGAATTTAGGTTTTTTTTACTTCAAAATCCAGCGATCCCTGAAAGTAAAGTTTGTTTTTTTATTAAATGAAAAATTTTTTTTTTTTAATAAAGATAATTCTATGGTATCAATGGATCTAAAAATCACGTTATTTTTTTGTTGTGGATATTTTGGTCATGTTATCTTGGAAGAGAAATACTTCAATTCATCAATTTTTACACATTTTTGCCCCGGATTGACATATGGGGTCTGGACAATAGAAACAGACCATGTTGTGAAAATGATGTTTTGTGAAAATTTAAAAAAAAGATCTGCATTTCAAGTAATTTACTATTGTTTTTAAAACTTTAATGGAGGGTATCTCAAAGTTTTATTAAGCAAAGTGGGTATGGTTTCTAAGCCAAAAATGTTCTACATGAGGAATTACATATAATAGTGATACTAACTCAAAATTGCTTTTTTCACAACATGGTCCGTTTCTATTGTCCACACCCAGATAGATTTTTATCTACTTCTCTCACATATCACAAATTAATTTCTCAAAACAATTATTGTGTAACAATATTTGGCTTTATTCTAATTAAAAAACAATACATTGCAAGTAGCATAGTGGAAATTCTATTTTGATCAACATTTGCAATTGTCACATTTACATTTTAGTAGAAGATCTTCATGTTACATACATAATAAAATTCGTTTGAATATAACTTTAAATTAAAGAGTTTATGTATTTTTCTTTTTTGCATGATGTACAAACATATGTATTCGAATTTATTTATTTAAATTTTGTGATCTTACATATCCTTTGATACATAATAGTAAAGCTTTATATTAATATAATACTTTCCCATTATTGAAGAAATAAAATACGCATATTTGTATATACAGTTTACCCTCTCTATAACAAATACTAAGTAAATCTCTATATATAACAAACTTCACTTTTTTATATAATAATAATTTCTCCTTATAATCTTAGTAAACACAAATAAAAAGTAGATGGATTCTTATTAATGAACCTTCCATAAAATAAATAAATGTTTAAATAATAAATTTTCAATAAATAAAGTAAACATACATACATAGTCAAATAAAAGCCAATGTAAAGATCCATATCAATAAGAAAGTTCTGGAAGAATTAATGTTATATGCTCTATATGTAATTTGAACCTTTTACACATTTTCATGGAGTGTGGTCCTAATACCTTCAAATATCACTAATATGCGTGTATCTTTTCCTACACTTTTATACATTTCTTTAATGAAAGAGTAAGGTATATACAACTTTTATTTTCTTTAAAAAAAAGAGATAAATATATATATATTAATATGATTTTCTTATAATTTTAAAAAAAAGATATATGTGTATATTAATATGCTTTTCTTATAATTAAAAAAAAAGATATATATATGTATATTAATAATAATAAAATAATGAAATAAACTAACTTTAATAATAATAATTTATTCTCTACGAAGGTTGTAATTTTGATCTTAAAGTTGGAACAAAAGAAAATAGATTGAAAAAGAAGGAATAAATTAGTAAATGAATGGAAAACATTCTTAGCTTTTATATTCATGTTTCATATATGTTGCTTGTTCTTATATATATCATATCATTCATATATTTTATAATAAATTTATTTATATACCTTATATATTTATATTGAATTCCGTTTATTTGACTAAAAATTATACAATTTTTTGCTTCATATGTAACCTTTAGATTGATTTGCATCCAAACATATCCCAAATCTTTAAATGAAAGTGCGTAAGGAAAAGATAATAACCGCATAATTTTTTTAAAAAATAGTTGTTTAATGAATGGTGTTACCCATAACAACACCTGACGTATTTTAAGTACTTTAAACAATTATGAATTTTACATCGTACAACATAAATTAAATTTATCACAGTGATCATCAAATTGTGACATAAATAGAATTTCCACTATGCTTCCTGTTACTAACAGGAACATTTTATAAATTATTAATAAATTTACCCTTATACTAGCTGGGAGGCAAAAAAAACTTTACCCAGTAAAAACTTGA